TTTTTTTTCTGTGTTTATTTCCAATTCTTTTTTTGTACCAGATGTTTTAATTTTAGATTTATGAATCATTTTTGAAAATTTAGATTGAGATACCAAATATTTTTCTAACATATCTTCAGAGCTGAAAGTTGTCAGATCCAAATAMATTTTTAACAATATTTCAAATTTTATAGGAACTCCAATGATCTACATTACAACAATAATATACCTTTTGGACTTTTTTTGTGACACATCTGTTGAACCAAATGGTGTCATTTCTCCTGTTCTAATTTTACGTTCATATTCAGTTTCTTCAATTCCTAAAACTCCTAAAGTCATTGCAGGAACCTCACCAGTGTTTAAAACAGTTTTACTATCCAATACATCATTTGTAACTTGTTGTAAAACTTCTTGTTCAAAATGATTCACATCATATACAGTTAAACCCGTTAAGTCTTGCAATTCTACAGGCTACAAAAAATATACATACATTTGCATATTATTTATAATTTAATTTGTACATGTATAAGTAAATACTTGATTAGTTCTAGGAATAGCTTCAATTTTGTTCCTGTCAATGTTCATTACACTACTATTAACAGAACCTCTTTCTACATCCATGACTTCTAAATTATTAATAGTTAACTGATCCAATGAGTCCATCATTAAAGACTGAAAAATAAAAATGTTGTTTGGTGATTTAATACATATTTTTTTTTGCTCACTTTACTAAACAAGTTCTTATATACCATCATCAGGGAATCAAACCACACCTGATGAAATTGCATATAGATATTAAAGAACACCTCCACCAAATTGTACACAAATATTTTTCATATATTAAATGTTGTATGTTATCCTTGGTTTGATATCCTGACAATTGATTATATCATTTCTAATGATTACCTTCTATTGAAAGGACATTCCGTTTCAAAAATGATTGTTGATATATTATAAAGTTTATAAAAGAATCAAATATTTAAAAATAAAAAGAACAATATAGGTAATGATTTAATAATCGTGTTATTTTTTTGTTTAAAAATTACAACAATAATAATTAATGACTACAATGATTTATGTTTATAATAATTCAATAACATACAACATTAGCTATAACATATAGATTTTTTACAGTATTAATTGGAATTCGATGGTTCAGTCAACGAGTACATAATTTCCATTAAATACAAAACTTATTTAAGAAGAAAAAAAAATGTATCAATATAAATTTATTATGAGAATAAGTATTGAGAAAATTTGAATAGCACTCCTGTCATCAAAATAAACCAGCATTTTTGAGAATAGAATTCGTACATACACTAAATTGTCTCATAACACATTTTACTTTATACAATACGCATACTTATAAAACAAT